TTTTGGTACATGGACCCTTAGGGAACCTCTACAGCACGAACAAACCCAAGCGTAAGCCAAAACCTCAAAGCATTGGGCAAACCAAAACGCCCCGAAGCTGAGGTTGAAACACGAAGGATGATGGACAAACTCGCTTAAATCACGACTTTCAACTTTTGGGACTTTGCAAGTAGGGTCTAAAGTGCAATGATCCTTTGTTTAGCCTTTCCCAACTCAGGCCTGCGAATCGTGATCATTAGTTATTAGTCAGTTAGCAATCCAGTACTGTAAGGGGCAGAGGTTCCTGTACCTAGGTACTTAGGTTTAGGATGTCTAGGATGGTATATATGTGGATGCGTTCTAAACGCCTTGACCCCGTGAACCTGCCAGGGGGGGGGGGGGGGGGGAGTATGGGGTTCTTCGGTACTTCGACCCATGGGCTTGCCAGGCAACGAAGCTTTCACCCGTCTGACCGTACCAAAGCATGGCTTAGCCACGGCTAGTCTCAGAAGGTTTGAGTATGGATAGCCTACATTGGTTACACTGGGGTGCAGGATGGTCAGTCCTGGGGCACGAGGATATATTTATGTTCCAACTTCCTGGCTTCTACTTTAATTGAAGTGTACCTATCAGACTACGTACAGCCCAGAAAATAGAAGCACAACTGACATGGCTGTAGACTATGCTTCGCAATGCTAAGGAAACGGTCTTATGGTGCTGTGCCCGCTGATCCCTGCTGCAGCCGTGCAGCTTGTCATCATGTTCCTCGGCCTTCTTGAATCTTCGATTTTGGGTCCCAGGTGAGAAAACCGTTTCTACGCGCCTAGAGGCCTATTGGCCTCAACAACCCTAAGGCCGCCGATGCCCTAAACCCCTAAACCCTAAATCGTTTTGTTAAACCCAAAGCTTAAGCCCCCACGCCCTAAAAGCTTGCTGAAGGGCTGCTCAAGAGCACAAACTCTCAGCTGTCTGCGCTTCAACTAAGTTACCACCTAAGGGCTACCACACGGGTTACTATAAGAGGTACTGCAAGGGATACACTGTAAGAGCTACTACAAAGGTTGCTATAAGAGTTTCTAAAATAGGGGCCATAATAATTAGAATAGGGTTTGGGGGTGTACTATGCTATAATTATCAATATAAGGAACCCCTAAAAGTCTATTCTAATTACAAGGCCCCTACAATATAAGGGTTACTATCAGATTTCTGTTATGACTTTCAAAGCAGCCTCTGCTTTGGTCCCTCATAAGGCGACCCATAATGCCCAGAAGCTGCCCAGAGAACCCAATACCCCTTAATTAGGGAATATACCTTAAATCATAATATTAAGGCCCCTATAATTTAAGGTACGTTCCTTAATTTTAGGGGTATTGGGTTCTCTGGGTGTCTCAGTCCCACAAGACCTATAGGCCAGCGGCCTCATCAACTTCGATGGTATATCATAGCATCATTGTACAGGGGAGTTTTTTCAAAGGGGACATGGTATTGCAATAGCTCCCTCCAAAACTCTACCCTGACTCCCGCGACAGGAACATCATTCTCTATCTGAGCCTGGTGACAATTGCAGTGGCTCAGCCGTGGCGGCTTCCGATGAGCAATGTTTTGGACATTTGGCTCCACATCGGCCTGCTCGCGTCCTGTCAGTGACTATTTGGAGAAAAAACCTTAGAATCACCACAATAAAAAGCCTAACATCCTGCAGCCCTGTAATGCCTTAATCATCTTAAAACCTTGAACCGTCAGCTTGAAAAACGCTCCCGAAACTCCACATGTTCACGTGCTTTGTCTAGCCATGCAACTTAGTGACCCCCGAATCGCGTTCAGAGGCGCGTGCGGCGTTCAGGGCTCTACCCATAGGCTCCTTAGTAGTTCTTTTTTGGGATTACCTTATAGGATTCTAAATATGAACCATAAAAAGGAACTACTTAGGAGCCTATGGGTAAACTCATCGCGCGTTCAGAAGCTCAGAAATTGAAGGGCTCTGATAAAAAGTTGGGGCAGCGCCACACTGCGTGGATGCGGCGGGGCTCCTTCCGCGGCCTTTGCGTGGATTGTGCTGTGTGGACAGCAGGGGTTGGGGTGTGGACGGGGCCCGTCCGCAATGCTTGGGGGTGTGGACAGGCTAACAAGTTGCAGTCATTTTGAAGCGTTCGTGTTCTAAAAAGCCAAAAACGGCGTCTTAAGGGCCTGCCGGGGCAGGCTCGGCGGCCGGGGCGGGGCGGGGTGGGGCGGGTCGGGGCGCGGCAAAACGAGGGGCGGGGCGTTTCTGGGCTGGGGGTGTTGGGGGTGTGGACGGGGCCCTTCCGCAATGCTTTGGGAGTAATCTTGAAGCGTTCGTGTTCTAAAAAGCCAAGAACGCGTCGTCTCTCAACGATATAATGGAGGTGGTGGGGCGCGGCGGGGTGAGGCGCGGCTAAGGGGCGCCTTCGCTCGTGCAGGAGGGGTCACTGAGCCAAATAGTGTCTCTTCAACAGGGTCCAGGAGAGAGTTGTTTCGTTGTTATTTAAATTCTGTTGGCTCTGAATTGGGGGAATTGGGGCATCGCAATCAAAACCTCTAAACTCTAAACCCTCATCTCCGACCCTAACACCCCCTACACCTTTAACCGTGTACCACATGGACGAAGGTAGTGCTGGACATGGCATCGGTCTTTGCAGCGCAGGATGTTGATCCTTCGCCTGATGTTGAGTATCTGTAGGGGTTGCGATTTCAGAGGATGCTGTTTAGGCATTAGGGCTCTGGGTTTCGGGGTTAAGGCCTTAGGTGTTTGTGTTGGCGTCTAAGTTATTGAATTGGTTTTATCTGGGGGTCATCTTGTTTAGGATTGTCGAGATTCTACTTTGAGATCACCTGGGCTGCCATATGACCAAACGAAGACCCGTTAGTATTCAGTTTATTGTTTCGCGTTTAGGGTGTGAACACCCGACTTCATATAAGGACTGGGACTGCAACAATGAGCACATGAGGTTTGCAGGAAGAAACCGAGATGCTAGGCCGCTACATTCCTGAGCTAGCAGAACAAGCATGCAAACATGAAAAGGCTTGGGCCCTTAACTACAACTCACTACTAGTGCGCAAGGGTCTTTCCACATATCCTCATGTTGCGTTCAGAAGGCCCTACGAGGCCCTGCAGAACAAAAGCAGGTCATATCAGTCTAGCGTGTCCCGGAAGCCATGCCCAAACCAACACCCTATTTAAATGGAGGGTTCCTACGGTGCCGCCGTGAGCACTTACAAGACCATCTTGGTGATCGGGCTGTCAAGATGCAGTGCAGTACCCTAAACCTTGCACATTACATGTGCGCATGGTGCGCACTCTGCGCACTCAAAGAGTACCAAGCTGTCGAAGAAGCTTCATGGCCCCCAGACTGAGATCTGATCTGCAAGGATGTGTTTGTCTCCACCTTCATTTCTATGATGTTCTTGATCTTCATGATTGCGGGCGTCCTGGGTGCCATTCTGTGGGGGATCGAGCCTCTGCCCTATCTTAGTTAACAAGTGAGCTTGTTTTCAGGACCGAATCACCTTTAAATGTCTGGGGCTCTATATGTTATAGTTAGCATAGAACCGTATCTGGAGCATTTACATTTTGGGTTCATGTGGTCTTTACGAGCTTCCAACCTGCGGGGCTTTGGGGTTTAGAGGTTGGGATAAAGAAATTTTCCTGGCTTTAGGTGTTCGGTTTGGTGGCGACAGGCCTCCTTGTTTTGAGCGGGACTTTGTTTAATTGATGGGTTTGGAGAGATGTATGTGCGAAGGCGTGTATGTATGCATGCATACATACACAGATACGTACATACAGCCATGCCCACATACATATGTACATACATGCATGCATACATGCATACATACATTATACATACATACATACATACATACATACATACATACATACATACATATACAGACGCACATACATCCAGACAGTCTGACACACATTCATTCATACATACATTCATACATACATACTTCCATACATACATGTATACATCGACCGGTAGCAAGAAACGACGGATGTGTAGCCGGAGTGCAAGGCGCTAAAGCTTTTCATAAAGACAAAAGCACCAAGGTCACAGCTGCCTTTATGCCCTGCTTGCAAGTATAGCAGTCCTACTGCCTACAGCCGATCGGTTGTAGACTGCACCTGTATCCCCAGAGCCATACAACACTTCGGCAAGCTATGACTCCATACTTACAGGTTACCACTGGCAAGTCAGTAGGTTACTGGATCCATGGCACATACCGATATCCGAACTCAAGGAACCGACACTAGAAACACGATTTTGCGTTGCGACGAGTTACTTCCAAAGAGTCCTGGCGTGTTTGTTACTTTTTCAACCTGAAGCTCTCCACACAGAAGCCCAACTTCTGAGCCCGATAGACCCCTAAATCCCAAACCCTCCACACTCAAGCCCGTAGCCATGTAGTTCTGCTTGAGCGCTGAACCCGAATAATGAAGAAAGCCGATCCAGAAGCTCCGGACAACCTAAGCCTGAAGGGCCTGAATCCTACCACAAACATCCACACCCTAAAGTCCGCAACTCTGGAGCAGCCCGTGCCGTGAACCCCAACAACAAACGACCTGCTAAGATAGCGGAGAGAGCCCCTGAAACAAAAAGGACCAGATCCAAAGTCCTTACACCATCCCTTCTCCCAGCCCGAAGACCCCAAACCCTAAGCCTTTTAAGAAGTGCGCGAAGAACCGGTGATAAAACAAAGCAGCGCCTTCCTTAGAGACAAGAGGTCATGCTAAAAAACGCTGAAGCCAAAAAGAACCCTACACCGCAAGCCCTTGAACAGAACGAACACAAAGAGTCCTTTTTCCAGACACCATGCGGATCCGAAGCCTTTACACCCCAAGCCCTAACCTTAAGGGTCCATGTACCTAAGTAGCATATACTTTGGCCCCAAAGGCCAAAGTATATACTATTTGGGTACATGGACCCTTAGGGTAACCCTAAACCCTATAAACCCTAAAAGTCAGACGTCCTTTCGGAAGAGGCGATGCAGGTTGCCCGGTGGAGAAGGAAGCCCTGGCGGTTCTTCCTGTCCCACCACAAGAGCTCAACAGGAGAAAGAGATACAAAGGGCTAGGCTTGAGGATTTTTATAGCGATTAGGAGTACAGGAGAAACGGTGGGTTTGAGGAAGTTTAGGGTTTGACTCGACAGGGATCCTGAACAATAGCTACACCTTCACCTACCAATTGCCACTTCTTGTGGGTTCTCAGTTTAAAATCCCTAATATGGGATTTACAGGGACCCTACACCAAAAAGTAGGTTCAGGTGGGTTTAGGTAGAGGAGAAAGGAAGAGGTTTGAGGAGATGGGTCAACTTTGAGCCCCGGGCCTCCCCAGGAGCGGCTGCCAGACTCTTGAAGATCCACCTTCAGAAGCGAAGCTCCCTTTTCACGACGTTCCTGGACACCGACAACCTTCGTGATTTGACGGAGCTCTTTCACTTCGTCAAGGATTCAGAGCTGCTCTGGCGGCAGAGAAGGAGTCGGTGGTCTACGGATTGAGCTCGAAGTCTAAGCTAGCATTGAATCCTAAACCCTGTTAGAAGCGTTTATAAACTCTAAACCCTAAATCTTGAGCGGGTTGATCGGACTGGGTGAGCAGCCAACAACATTAGGTGAGTTGTCCTCGGTGCTCCCCATAACGCGGGTCCGCACACGGGTACTAGGGTTTTAGGGTGTGGGGTTATAACGTTTTCGTTGGATCGCAATCTTCTTTCTGATCTTAACCTTAAATCTTGAACGGATTGATGGGTCTGGGTCAGCGGCCAACAACATCAGATGAGGTTTCCTCTGTGCTGGTCCCCATAACGCGGGTCCGCGCAATGGTACTAGGGTTTTAGGGTGTGGGGTTCAGGTTTTCGTACGATCGTTATCTTCTTTCTCATGTTCATGGAACCGATGCTTCTCTAAGCATGACCCTAAACCCTAAACCCTAAACCGTCCTAAACCCTAAACCCTAAACCATGTCCACCCAAGGACCGTCCTAGTTTTGGCAAGTCCTGCGATCCTGGCACGGAAGTGGTGTATAGGAGAAATTGTCACGGCCAAGCAGCACGATATCGAAACGGTTCTGTTGAAGTGGCCGACATTCCAGTACCCCACGGAAACGTTTCGCAAGAACCTGACGTTCGCAATTCCTGGAGTGGAGGTGGGGTTCCGGACGTCCACCACGTACATGTTTTCTTTCTATCTCCGATCGTCAGGAAGTTGATAAGTGATTGATTATGCAAACGTCCAGCTGAAGACAGTATATGGGTATAGCTGTCGAGATCAGGGTCCCTTTTTAGGTCCCCAATATTTTAGTACGGCACCCTTACAAAAAAGGACCCTAAAAAGGGACCATAATTTAGAAAACTTTTGAAGTCAGCACAAAGTTTTTAAACTTGTGGGATGCTGTAGTTTTCCTCAGAAGTGGAGGCACTTACAGCGCACGGCATATCTCTAGATGACGTGTCGCTGGCCATGAAATGGCTGGGGTCATTAGATGTGGTCCCTTTCCCAGATCTCCTGGACGCTGATTCTTTGATCCGTATTTGCGACAACGTGACTGGCACGGTGTCGTCGGTAAAGGACAGGAGGAACTCGGGCAAAGAATTGCCGGTTCAAGCCAACTGCCTGCTTCTGGCAGATCCTGCAGACCAGGAAGCAGTTGCCACATGCTACATACTGGATGAGATGCTGGTGTCTCTTCTCAAGGGCGAGCTCCTGCCACTGATGCTCCGGCATGGCGAGCCTATACCAGAGCAAGTAGATGCACACTGGAAGGTCCTCCTAATTTGCACCTCGGGCTGCCTAAAATCAAGCGATCTGGCTGCTTGGCTTGTTGATCTGTACGAGCCGTCGCCAGTCATCCTGCCGATCATTGCCGATCCCAATTTCCTCGTACCAACGGAACCGTCCCTGGGCTCTCATTAGTACCGTTTCTAGATCTAGACGCGCAAAAGACAAAACTAAAGCAATTTCCATGTGTCTGTAAATGATGACCTGCTGACATGCCAAAGGTACATGGATGCTTGCGACGTAGAGGCATCCATCAACGACTACGAGCGCGAGGTTTACGTCAAAATGATCGGCATTGTGTTCCAAGAGATCGCCACAGTATTTGCGCCGCAATCACACTCCAGCACACAGGAGGACTGCTTTCGCATCCGTCTTACTTGACATGGGAGCTCAGTCCCCTTCCCGCAGGGTCTCTCTAAACACTGCATGCGCATCTAGACTCTAGAACGTAGTATTTTTGTGGTTGATCACCGTATAGTTTCTGATTATAATGGGATCCTAACTCCTCACCACAAATCAGGTTACCTCCAAAACGATACGACACTCTGGCGTCCAGGTAGTCACTAGTACTTTAAAGATGGGTCGGGTCTCCAAGTTTTCAGAGGCGGGCCTTCTGGAGACTGTTCGGGTTTCGGGTTAACGTTACACCCGAAGCCTCACCACACACTCTGAACCTGAAGCCCGAAACCACACGCTAAAGCCGGAACCTAAACCAGTACAATCTTACGACGTGTACAGCTCTTGAAAACCCCCAGGCAATGTAGAGCACATGTGGAGCCATATGACACGACACCATGTCCAAACAAAAAGCCCTATAACACCCTACAGGATATGAAGCCCTACCTGTAGTCTCCATTGTAGTTCCTTTTCCGTAGGATCCTAAACATAACATTAGAGAAACCCCAAAAACAGGGAACGACGATGGAGACTATAGGTACAACCAGAGTCAAAAGCTTGGGGCCCTAAGCCCTGAGCCCGAAACCTTGAACCCTAAACCCTAAAATCTGAACCCTAAACCCTAAACCTTGAACCTTAAACCCTAAACCTTGAACCCTAAACCCTTAACTGGGCACTCCAGGACCTGGAGTTGAGGGTGAAGCAGATCGCATTCCGTGTGCAAGCGAAAGGCACCACCGAATGGAGGCCGATTTCTTCTCGGTGCGTGTGCTTGTAAGAGCCTTAGGGCTCAAGGTGTCGGGTTCAGGTACCAAAAATACAGGATTTTGATGTTTTGGGTTTTCGGTCTAGTGGGTTGCGTAGCACTACTCCGCGTTCGACGACGACCTTGACGATGGCGATTAAGCTGCTGCTGCTGCTACTACTTCTACACTGCTGCTACTACTACTACTACTACTACTACAACTACTACTACTACTACTACTACTACTGCTACTACTACTACTACTATTATTATTATGATTACTACTACTACCACCCAGAATAATAATAATCATAATAGTAATAATGACAACAATAATAATAATATCAATACACTACTGCGTGTCTTTCCTGTGCAGCATTTTCGAAGCCAGAAGCTACAACACAGTAAATTATAATGTCTACAGGTTTGGCTCGGCGTTCGAAGCGACAGAGAAAGCCATGTCCTGACACCAGGGGAGTGGCAGTTGCAGTTCGTGTTTCTCCTGTCAGTTGGTCGGTTGTGTTTTTGTGGACGTATGGGTTTGTAATTGCAAGTAGCTCACGTTCGGCCTGTTTAGCTTTCAATCTAAGGAAAATGCCGTAAGAACCGCAGCTGTTGCATGTTTGCATTTGGAAGATGCTTGCGACAGCGAATTTCTTTCCAGAACCTTCAAACCTTTCGTAGGCAGTATATAAAGTACAGAACGATACAAGCACTGTAAATACCAGTATTTTGGGCATGTTCACAATAGGAGTGGACGATTGCGACTGCGTATCTTGCTCTGACTGAAGCATTCGAGACGCAGTGTTCGAAAGGACAGAAACGCTGTAAACCCAGCGACGTGGTCGCACAGCATGAACGAACTTAGTGTCCACCCACCCCGCGCCAAACATTTCCCCCTAATTCGCCCTGCACCGCCCCCCACCCCCAGCGTCAACCCCAGAAACAGCAGATGTTGCCAGAATCGGCTTTTGCACGTGCAGGGTCCTACTCTGATACTATATAGACTACTGCTACTACCACTACTCCTGCTCTACTACGACGACGACCTGTGCTGTACACTAGTAACTAATACTTGTACTGCGTTTACGGAGATGTTTAACATTAATATTGGTTTGTTCGAAAAACATTGGCGCAAATCCGATTCCAAAATCCTCAAGCAAGTGCTGCTGCCACTGCCAAACAATAATGGCAGTAGCAACATCGCCAGACATGCACGGCAACACAATCAACATTAAGACATGCCAGCAATACCAGCAGCGAGTCAGCAAGGTATCAAATCGAATACAGCACTACCACGCCAGCAACTTCAGCAGCATCAGTCGCATCAAGAACAACACCTGCACATCAGCAGTTTCCATTCACGACGACAACATCAGCAGCAGCCGCAGCACCAGCAGCAAAAACAACAACATCATCATGCAAACACTATTATTTAGCCAGTACCTTCATGAATGAACAGACGTTGCAGCTGCGGTAGAAGCAACAGCAACATAAGAGCAGCAAGTTCTTCAGCGAAATCGTCCTCCTTGCTAATTGGAGCACCCTGCAACTCAACCCCAACCACTAAATAGATATTCCTCAAACCTTTTAAACTATATGCACACGATATCGATATATATATATATATATTTACGTACATATATACGCACACACGAGCACGCCATCCCTGAGCAGGATGCGAGTTTCGTCCATGCATTCGGTACCGTCATCGACTTGTCATTCGAGGCATTCTATGGAGTCTGCGGTGAATGTGCTGGTTAAAGATGTGCCTCGGTTTTAGAGTACTATGCTTTGTCATTGTTGTTTGACCTGTCCCTTCAAGGAAGCATAGGTAAGGACATACAAGCTTATACCTTTTTCTGCCTGGTTATTCCAAAGCCCAGTTGATGGTTAAGGAAGACTTCATCAGTTTTTAGTGATCTGAAAGTTCGGGGATCTGGCAGAGCACAGCTTGTGTTACTCCGCGCGGTGAAAGCCCGCAGGTGCACCCTAAAACCTAAGATTACATTTCAGAGTCCAGCAGTTCGCTTTTTGGGTTTGAAGTGCTACTTGCTTTCACGAGCTCTCCTCTAAGGCGTAAAGTCGTTAGGCCGGGTTGTTCTCAGTAGTACATGGCAGTTCGCATCAGATCTCCATGACTTCGTAGATTGCTGTTCCGAAGGTAGCTGATCTCGTAATGATACTGAGATATTTGCTGTCACAATGATGAAGCAGGTGTATGCATGCAAACATAGGTCTTGTAGTGTGGTCTTCTCCCGGTCATCCTTAGTATATTATCATGACCACAACTATGACTATGTTTGCAGGCTGTACTGTCACCATTTCAACCGGCATCCTGACTGCCATGAAGCAGAGATGCGTCATCGTCACCATAATACTCTTGCTGCTCTTCAGTACGCAGGCGTCACCAACATGATGTTCATGGCTTGTTTGCGCAAGTAGAATGTCTTCGAAGGAAAGTAGTGCTGCTTTGAGAGGGATCCCGTGGTTGGGCTTAAGCACCATCAACCCAAGACCCAAACCCCTAAACCGCTATCGTCTTCACGCAAGGGGTCCGTCAGCCAGAGCCAGCCAACCCCAAACTTTCGACATCGACCTGCCAAGCAGGGGAGTTACGTTTGTTTAGATGCGGGAGGTGTTCTGAAAAGTAGAGGCCGTTGGTTTTAGGGGCCGTATGACGTATAATATACAAGGACCCCAGTACTCACTTAGGGTCCAGGGGCCAGGGTCCCTGGTTCTTTGGAACTCCCATGTATGTCCTTTCTTTGAGCTCGGCACAGCGCAAGTCCAGCGTCTGCGATCTCAGAAATTCCATGGAATCTAGGCCACGAGCTTAAATCATTACCTGTCAAGTAGTATTTCCTTCCGTTTGCTTCATACGAATCTACGATAATACACGCCCACATATCCCTAAACCCCAATCCGTAGAATATTGAGGCCCCAGTATCAAGCACCAAGACCTTACCCCCAAACTATAAGCCATCAACCCCCGCGGACGCTCGAAACCTTCGCCGAACAGCAATGCAATGTAAAAGCTGAAACCCTTAAACCCGCAAAACTATCCCTAAGCAGCCAAGTCTCAAACTCGAAGGTACTTAGAGTCCGTTAGACACTTTTGGGGGCATGAAACTGGCAGTCCGAACCCCAACACGGAGATTTTGAATCTTTTTACCCCCTGCACCCCCGAACCTCTGCAATCCCCCAAAGCCCTAAAGCCTTAAGAATTAGAATAGGGTTTTGGGGGTTCCCTACTATAGTTATAGTCTAATATACCCTTCAAAGATTGCAAGAATTCCCGGGATCCCGGACATGGTCACGAGCATCGATTTAGGGCTTAGGCTTTTGAAGGCTTTAGGGTTTAGGGTTTAGGGCTTAGGCTTTAGGGTTTAGGGTTTAGGGTTTAGGCTTTTGAAGGCTTATGCACACCCATACATGCCCTAGCCACATAAAACCCCTAAAGCCCTAAAGCGCGAAGAGCCCCAGCAGAGGGGACTGTGAGATTTCTCTTGCTCCGGACGTCTGGAATGAGCCATGCTATTGAGCATGGTGCTAACGCTCATTGCGACAACTTGCCACTAACCATAGCAAGACGTCGAATGCTATCGCCCTACTCCATCAACCGTAATTAAGCCATAAGTACTAAGCCTTGAAGTCTCAATCCGTTTACTAAGTTTATCAGGCATCTTTGCCTTGGTGTCGATGCCTCGACACAGGGGACATGTCGGCTGTCCGCCATGCTTTTGGAAGAATGAGCCTCGGCCCCTGCTTATGGAATCCGGCGTAAGCAGCCGCCTGGTCTCACATTTTCGGTATCGATTCGAGAAGGGTTGAGGGCATCGATAGTACTTCGACCATTTTATCCAAAATCCATTCTGAAACCCTTATAAACCCTAAACCTTAAACCCCTAAACCCCAAACCCCAAACCCTAAACGCTGGAAACCGAAAGTGCCTAAACCCAAAACATCGACCCCCCCCCAATCCAAGCCTAAAGTCCAAGCCTTCAGTGCAAGCCCGCCTAGCTCACCTCAACCCAAAGGTTTAGGGTTAGGGCTTATAGGGTTTATAGGGTTTATAGGGCTTATAGGGCTTATAGGGCTTGTAGGGTTTAGCGTTAGGGTTTAGGGTTCAGGATCCCGAAAACCTTGATGCCAATCCTTAGGCCCCATATCCCTCAGCCGACAAGTCGGAGTTGCGGTTCAGGATCCCCAA